ACCATCCATGCAGCATTGTCCAGAGTATCACGGTGTATGATTTTAGCATGATTCACACCATCCATGCAGCATTGTCCAGAGTATCACGGTGTATGATTTTAGCATGATTCACACCATCCATGCAGCATTGTCCAGAGTATCACGGTGTATGATTTTAGCATGATTCACACCATCCATGCAGCATTGTCCAGAGTATCACAGTGTATGATTTTAGCATCATTCACAAGCTACAAATAGCCTCAGCCTGCCAGTAACAATCGTGCAGCTAATCTTATCTGGAATAACTCAGTGTGCATCAGCCTGCCTACATCTGCCTGTATTTCATATTGTGCTTTTCAAAGGAATTGTTGCGTGAAATGCTTTTCCACTCCCAGGCTTTATTAACTAAAATGTCACGCTGCACTTCACAGATGCAGCAAATGGCTAATTCAGAGTCATCACGATACAGCAGCCATCCAAAGATTGAGGCAATGGGACCCAGGATCCAATCAGTGACTGTGCAACATGGTCACATGGCCACCTTCAACCAATCGCAACTTGGACTGAGTGGAGCCAGTGTGACCCATAGCTTACCATCTCCTCCTGGAAGCAAGTCTGCAACCCCGTCTCCCTCCAGCTCAGTGCATGAAGATGAGCCTGAGGACTCAACAAAGGTACCGGCTGATGAACCAATACACTCCTTCTGTAGGGAAATTTATTTTCATAGACCAGTTCTGGAAAAGAATCAAGCAAGACTTTGTAAACTATGTAGGGTAGTAACAGCGTATGCAAAAATGATATTTGAATCCTTGTTATTATTATTGTTGTTGTTACAGTCCCAAACCCCAAGGTAATGGCAATGGGTGCAGAAATAAGGTTTGGGATGTTACCTTAATGCATAATAATTAAGGTATTTTGCATATACTTGTTTTATACTGGATTTAACATACATTTACATTATAGCTGTAAAGGAAAGGAAGTGGTCACATGGGAAAAACCCGAGCTTCAAAGATCTGGAATGATATATCGAGTAATTTACCGACTGATATATGCCAGTTTTACAAGGGAGTTGATTTCCTTGTATGCAGCCTTAAATTTAAATGTGAAAGGTTTATGTATTACTTTTCAGGTCATGTTCATTAGACATCATATGACCGCATGTGTAAAGATTCCAGTGGTATATTATAGTTATACATTAACCTAGTTCATTTACAAATCACAATCATAATGTTTGCAGTCCCAATGTTAGCATATACGTACTACATATACAATGTATCTACAGATTCACATGTATATGACACCATGTCAATTTATATTAGAATTTTAGTTTAAAAGGCATGACAGTATTGTAAAAGTATTGTAAGTCACACTGGTATTTATTATGTATCTTCAGTCCAGATCCTGTTGGTCTGTTTTGCAGGCTTCTTCCCATCTGAGTCCTTAATTAATAAACCTTGATTGTGCTGTTGATTAAACAAATGGAATGAATCAAATCAAATTAAAATCAAATCACTTACTGTAGCTGTCATGTCCCATTAAGCCTAATTTGTGTTATTCAAGAAATAATTACATAATTCTAATTATGTAATGATAAGATTTTAAATTTTCTTTCGTTTTTTCTTTTTTTCCTTAAAAAGGAATAGTACATCGCCTCTGGTGATTCAATTAATCATTGAATGCTTAACGACAAATTTATTATGTTTTGACCGAATTTGGAAAATGCCCAAAGTAATGTTACATCCATCCATCCATCCATCCATCCATCTTCTAACTGCTTAAACCAGTTAGGGCTGTACAGAAACATTCACAGATTTATAATTTGGTAGGACCAAGACCAAAGCTGAAAAAAGCAGCCAAAGGCATATTTCTGCTGTTTTGTTTAACCGTATTTCCTAAGTTTGCTTTTGAAAGTTGCCCTTTGACCCCCAACAGGCAAGTGGAGGTGAGAAAAGACCTGCGTCGACTGGGAGTAAGAAGCCCAAGACCCCTAAGAAAAAGAAGAAGAAGGACCCCAACGAGCCCCAGAAGCCGGTGTCGGCCTACGCGCTCTTCTTCAGGGACACCCAGGCGGCCATCAAGGGCCAGAACCCCAGCGCCACCTTCGGGGAGGTCTCCAAGATCGTAGCATCTATGTGGGACGGCCTGGGGGAGGAGCAGAAGCAGGTAGGTGGTCTTGGCTAGTTGCTAGCTATGTGACATTGGGTTTTCTCAGTATGTGTACTTGGCCCAACTTGTGTTCTCCTGCAACCGTTTTACGTCATCTTCCATTGCCGAAGACCAGCTCCAATACTTGTGCCCCGCCCCAAATATCAAGGATACGTCGGTTGCATCCTCGCCAAACGAGACCATTCCCATGGTTCATTGTGCCCCAAGTTCGTTATAAGAATGCAAGTTAACGAGACCGGTCTTGCCAAGAGCGCAAGTACGGTCTTTGCGTTCTTGCTATTGAGAAACACCCCTGGGGTCTTTAGGCCTGGAAGTTGTCTGTTAAAGTAGATTGCTGAGCAGAAAAACAGGTCTGGTTTGTTATCTTTTTGTTTTTGTCAACCACTGTCCACTCACAATCAATCAGCAGTGAATATTCACACACAGATTACTTCCAATCGATTGGAAGGTTCTAGAAAAAAGGTGCTTAGAAGGACAGACATCGGCTATTCAAATACATGAAATTCCAAATGTAAAAATGTCAAAATGGCTCAGATAGTCTCAGCTTGACACAGTCAGTGATGTCAGGTGGGAATACACTGTGTGTATTCTGAAGAGTTCAATGGTTGATCGGTACCTCAAAGACCAGGCGTGTGGCCGACGGCTCCACGAACGCTGACTCTTCCTCTCCCTGCAGACGTACAAGAAGAAGACCGAAACTGCCAAGAAAGAGTATCTCAAACAGCTGGCAGCGTACAGAGCAAGCCTGGTCTCTCAGGTAACTATGCAGATACCTGCAGAACATGAAAGGACGTTAAACAACTCGTGGGTTGTAACTTAACCAGCTACCTGTCATAGCTGACTGTTGCAGAGTAATTTCCGTATATGTGGCAAGTGATGGATTTTACTGGGTATATAAATCTCGCCGAGGTGATAACGAACCCCCTTACAGCAAGGCAGTAGATACACGTGGTTGATATATTAGAGGAGAACAATTAAGTAATTAAGTCTGCTGTAAATCCTGCACAGTATTAGGTGTTGATCATCACATACTAGGCTTTCCCCAAGACCTTCATTAGTGACACTGACCAGCAGTTGGGTCTCTCAGGTTAAATGGCAGGTGGGTGTGGCACACGTAGCCCAGGTACGGGTGAAAAGGTATTTAGCCCAGGTACGGGTGAACAGGTATTTAGCCCAGGTACGGGTGAAAAGGTATTTAGCCCAGGTACGGGTGAACAGGTATTTAGCCCAGGTATGGGTGAACAGGTATTTTTCTCTGTGTCTCCTTCTCCAGAGTTATGCAGAGCAAGTGGAGGTGAAGTTGAGCCCAGCTGCCCATTTGATCAGCCCCAGACCTTCACCCCCGAGCCCCTATCTGGGACAGGCCTACCTGCAGCAGGCCAGGCTGGGCTCCCACTTTGCGCCGATGGCCCCCACCTTGGCCCCTCATGGTGTCACTGCCTCGCCCCCACCCCAGCATCAGCCTATCGGAATGCACTCCTCCTTCATGCCACAGGTGAGCGTCTTTGTGAGGGTCCAATCACATGAGCAGCTACTGGTCAGCTGACAGGTGTAGGGGCGCCTAGAGCCTATACCAGGCACAATTTGGATCCCCAGTCCTGGAGGTGTGAGGCAACCATGACACCCACCAAGCCACCACGTTCATATTTAGCTTCCCATAGTTCCCCTTGTCCAGCAGCATCTTTCATCAGAGAGGACGTGATGTTTAGTTATACACAGGGGCGGATTAAGGTGTACAGAGGCCCCTAGGCTACAGTAGTCTGTGGGCCCCCCAACCCCGTCCCCCTCTGCGCCAATGGGGGCCCCCTTGCAGGCTGGCACACGTGGGGCCCCTAGGCTTAAGCCATATCTAGCCTGTGAGTTAATCCGCCCCTGGTTATACCCCACGATGGGGTAAAAACACTCTGGTGTATTCTTAAAAATCAGTGTTTTCCAACCCGGTCCTCCTCCCAGGAATCAAAAATGTGCACTGTTTGGCAGGGAGCTGGGAGGAAGCAAAAACGTGAACTGTCTGTGGGGTTCCCGAGAACCGGGTTGGGAAGCCACTGCTGTTGACAGAGGAAGCCTCACAAAGATGCAGTGCAGATATCATCTTTGTGATGGTATGAGGCAGGGAAACCCTGCGACACGCCCCCTGCTGCAGGGATCTTCCCTGTGGGCTCCCGGCAGACACCAAAACGAGATGCCAAAAGCCCTCGCACCGAAATAACAGCCACATCACATTTACTTCTCCTTTATAACCTAATTTTAAGAGCCGAAAGTGAAACTGAAACTCTGTTCTTCATGCATTTCTTTGAGCGTGCTGCTGAGCTGTTTCCCCCCCACATCTTTGTTCTGGTAGAGCTAACATCGCGCGACATGTCTGAGCCGAATGGGCGGCTTTTCTTTACATTATGAGCAGCTGCCATTGGCCTTGGACAGAAGTGCGACTCTGCCTGCTCAGAGAAAAGGCTGTAGATGGGCCCCATTATCTAACAGCTCTGCCTGTGGCCATCGCTGCTTCGTGGCACCCTGGGTAGATGCTGTCCTCTATGCCCGGCAGGGTTTCCCCATGCAGACGGAATTCCAGAGCGCCGTAAATTCCACGGCGTCAACTCTGACGGCGCAGATGGATCTCGCCCATGGCGGCTGCAGGAATCCTATGGGCCCGGGACTCGACTGGGCTGGATCCTACTGCAGTGCTGGATCTGAGCCACTACCAACGTATGGCAGTGCTAATATCAATACATTTACACTGTGCTAATATCAATACATTTACATTGTGCTAATATCAGTACATTTACATTGTGCTAATATCAATACATTTACACTGTGCTAATATCAGTACATTTACATTGTGCTAATAGCAATACATTTACATTTATTTTTATTTAGCAGGTGCTTTTGTCTGAGGAAAATTGCACATTATTGTGGCAAATAATGCATTAATTGTTCATGAGATAAAACAAATCAGGTATATATTTGGATTTTACATTACTTTAATTTAGGCTACATAAAATTATATAACAGCAAATTATTGGATGCTAAATTTATTTAAAATTCCTGTTTCCCATGTTATACAGCTGACAGAGTTGTTGTCATGCACTCAGATGGGCAAAAATACATCAAAATGACTTTTGATACAAAATATCTTATTTTTAAATGTATCAAAATAAACCACAAAATACAGCCACCAAGCAATGTATCAAAATAAACCACAGAATTTTGTATTTTAAAAATACAAAAATACTTTTTGCATGCTTCTGTTCTGCATCAATCTGTTCATTCACAAGCACACTGGCTCAGATGGCCAGGCATAAGAACAGCATCTTTTCACTGCTTAATGAGATAATATAAATGACACTCAGATAATGGGAAGTCAATCAAATGAAAAAGTAATAGTAACAGAGTCAGAAAGATTTATTTGGTTGTGATTTAATTGACAAAACCGCTTTCCTTTCTTGCACCACAGATGCAAAATTTCCCTTCATGGGATTAATAATGTTCATCTTAAGTGAACTGAACTGAAAAACTGTAAATGAATAATGGCAAACACAATTTAAGCTCTTCACTCAGCAAGATCCTGAAAACTTTTAACATGAATATGCTTGAATGGAGCTTGTGAGTCTTTTGGTTCAACACAAGTGATCGACTGTTGGCTCTAATAACCATTCATTGTAATGTCGGAAAAAACTGGCCTCCCTCCTTGTGTAGCACAATCCTTTCGCACATGATTACATCACGCACATATTATCTGGAAAGTAGTTCTTGTATTTTGAAAATACAAAAATACCGAACATCAAAGTATTTTGATACAATTACATGATCATTTTTATGAAGCAAGTCAAATACTAATTTGACATAAAAAATGCACATTTTATATACATGTATCAGAAATACTGCTCATCCCTGCATACTGTGATAGTTATAGTTTTGCCATGTTTTTACCTCCCTCCAGGTCCCTGCAGAGAGAGAAGCCGCTCTACCTGCACTGATTGGCTGATCGGCGTCTTGCTCCCTGTCCCCTGTCCCAGTCCCCCTGTCCCTGTCCCTGTCCCCTGTCTGTAGGACAGTGACAACGTGGGTCTTTGTGTCTGAACAAGTCAAAGTCCCATCAGGCAGTTTTTAAACATGCGGCTTAACTGTCAGCAAAAGCTTTTGAACATTTATTTTTTCCCACCTTTTATTTATGATATAAACAGCTTGTTTTTGTTGGCAAATTAGAGGGTCTGTTAAAAATCGTGACGTGTCGGAGGTCCAGACAAAGAACCAGCGATAGCAGTAGTTTGGATCGCAGGCCGGCGCCGAATCCAGTGGGTCACCCCGGCTCCCAAGGGCTATCGAGCGGCACATGGAACCAAAATAAAAACCCCGATACTTATTTAATGACCTGCTCCTTATTTAAAAATGCTAGCTATGAAAACAGAGAAGGGCACCAGGATGATATAGCTTTTTATGTTTTTAATTTTTATAATATTTTAATTTATTTTTTATTATTGTTATTATTGCTTTTTATTGTTTGCTCTGGAATCCTATACTAGTGAATTGCCTTAGAAACTGTAGCATATATCAATAAACAAAAGTCCCATTTTCCTTTTTAAATGGATGTTGAAATAAGCTACAAAGGGCACTTGATTGCTTGTTATAACTTGTTATATGGAAAACTTGTAAATACAAGGTATGTCACTCTCTTAGAGTATAAAAACAATTTCTTAAAATGCTTGATCCTTAGATAGGGTCAGTCCAGTTCATTTAAATCTTCAAAAAAAGGGTGTATCTCGTTGTCGCATATTGACATATTAAGCATCATTTAACAAAGCTGGTGGGTCTATTTAAGACGAAAGAGGATTCACAACAATATTTAAGTAGCTGTAGCCTGCATCCCGTGGAGTAGCATTAAACATCGCAGTAGATCGACCAGGAGACGGCGTGTGAGATAATGTTCATTTTGTCCAGGTCTGCCAATGCATACATCTCACAGTGTGCTGACTGAGGTTCTTCACGCCTGTGTGAATCGAACTACCACATCCTGTCCTGAAGCCATTCAGATCCAGGGGGCTGGAGAGAAGGCTGAAATTTGCCTGTTTATTTTTGTTCCTTCATATCGTGTCTGTCTTTTTATGGAACCTGTGTCAGCAATTCATTAAAACTACGAATGAATGTAGGTGTTTGTAATTATCCGGTAGCTTGTGAAGGATGCCTGTCGCCTGCTCGTGGCAGATGTAATCCCAACAGCTCTGTGAATACTCTAACTCTTTTGTTTTTATTGTGTAAAAAAAAAAAATAATAAAGCCAAACCTGCATTCCTGCAGTCATCAGAGTTGTGTGTTCACAGTATTCTTTAATTTTTTCATATAGTTCTTGAGATGGGACTTCTTCCTTTCCCTTATCGCAATGGAGTTTGTCTTTTACCTTTAGTGCTTTCATTTGTTTTACTCACTCTGACATGGGCCTCTAGACCCACTCGCAACTAGCTTTGGAAGCTAACGCTAACCCCGACAACTCGCACTGGCTTTGGAAGCTAACGCTAACCCCCGACAACTCGCACTGGCTTTGGAAGCTAATGCTAACCCCCGACAACTCGCACTGGCTTTGGAAGCTAACGCTAACCCCCGACAACTCGCACTGGCTTTGGAAGCTAACGCTAGCCCACGACAACTCGCACTGGCTTTGGAAGCTAATGGTCTAGGCACTTTCGGAACACCTCACAGCGGCGTGAAATGTCAACACGCAACTGCTGAGTGACTCAATAAGGTAGGTTGGTTAAATAAGAAAAATTACCGAAAGAGAAAAAAAAAGTTTATTATGAGATTAAACTTAACGTTAACAAGTGAGAGAAGAAGAATATTTATTTAGCTGTTATCAGGGTCATCAGAGGGGCATGGATACCCTGGTAGATTCAGGGGGCCCAGCACCTGATGGAGGCCCTTGGATACATTAAATACTTACATACAATAGGGTAGGGCCCCAAGGTGACATTTTGTCAGAGGGCCCAGAATTTCTTGGTACGCCCCTGGTTATTATTCTTATGAATTTGATGTTCGTGTTTTGTATTATGTGTCTGGCCTCCTGCCCACTCCTTCCCCAACCCGAGTCCCTGACCAGGAGAAGCACTTAGAAGATAGATGAGTGATTTTTTTTTGTATTATATAAACAATTACTTGTGCTGAATGATGCTCCCCGTTCCATTTTGGACTTGAATATTATCAGTACTCAACTAAAGTAATCGTGCGTGCAGAAAAATAATTTTAAACAATGGCCTGTAGCGGGAGTTGTGAGACATCTACAAGTCCTGAACCCAAACACAGGAAACTACTCTATGGTTCCTGAGATGCTGGGGTAGGTGGCTGACACAACGTGTTGATGCCATAGTCAACGAGGGAGTCAAATGTTCAATCACATTCTCACCTTCTGAGGTCTAAACTGAGGGCAGTTAACCAGTATTTCAGACATAGTGTCAAGAATTATAAGCAGGAGGATCCAGTTATTCCAGGTTTAGTGACTGAGACTATGAGGAAAAATTCTCTTAAGGTGTTATGCAAGCTGAACAGATAGAAAATGAGTTGGTTTGTTTCACTGTGCAGATAAAGAAAAAAACGGGTACTAACCATCGCACAAAAGAAAGAAATAGTTGGTGCATTGCATTGTACAACAAGAAAAATGAAAATATATCTTACAGAGAGAAAAGCTAATTCATCGTACAAGGATTGTGTTTGAAATGTATGAGCTCAGCTCTTTGTGGTGAAATTATTTAAGGAGGACCTGGTGAGTCGCGAATTTCATTATTAGTGTACAAAATTCTACTGTTATTTTAATTTTATCCGTGGGGCTATTTTCTCACACACACACAGAGAAACAGTTAGGTACAATGTAATTCCAGAGCTGACCCTCTGCAAATATGGCCCATCCCCCCAAAATGTCTGGACATGTCACGTGCACAGCCCGATTCAACGTCTGGGCTGGGTTGGTTCTATGCACAGGGGTTGAATTCCAGCCAACATGAAAACAGACACAGAAACATAAGACACTTGAGCCCAAACTCTCCAGCAATAGGCATGAGGCAGCCATGCATGCAGGCTGTGAACGCCACTGTGTGCAGCATAAACAGCGTGAAACGCCACCCAGAATGTTTACGATGTTTACGGGCACTTCATGATTGTCTTCACCTCGCAGTCCTGGGTATTGCTTTGAAGGCGTTTCCCTATTTAAGACCTGTGCAGTGATGTGCTTTTCTTGTATCGCAACAAGAACAACAACAGTAGATCAGGATTTTTTTCCATTGCATTCTTGGATCTTAAAGTTCACATTTTCGCCCATTTTTGCAGTGACCGATGAGCGACTGTTTTTTTAGGCTAGAAAGAAGTAAGGCTTTCATTTAATCAAAGTTGCTCTCTGCAAATAAATGCATTGTGTAAGAGCAGAGCCTATCAGCATTACTTGTTCCAGCGCTGTCAAAGCGCTTGAATGGGCTTTCTGTGGTTTCACAGCGCCATCTAGTGGGTACCTGCATTCAACTGCAGAGTGCCTAAGGTTCTTGAATCAAATCTTTAAAAGAAGATTTGCTCATGGGTTTTGATCGCATTCACTTAACAGACATTTAAAAAAAAAATTCAAAACAACATACAGTTGAGAAAGCAGCATCAGTCAGTCCCAGGGAGCGACTGGGGTTAGAGGTCTTGCTCAAGGGCCCAGTGGTGAAATCACTCTGCCAACAGAGGGACGTAAACTGGTGACCTTCAGATTTTGGGCACAACGTCCTAACCCACTGGGTCACACACCACATACAAGTAGCCAGCACACACACACACACACACACACACACACACACACCCTTGTATTCCTATCCTTCTGAGGACCGTCCATTCGTTTTTATGGGAAAAACTCTAATCCCAACATGGCAACCTTAACCCTCACAGCCCTAACTTTAACCATAAGTAACCAAACGAAATACAAGACTTTTGGAATTTTTAGTTTTTTGATTGCAGTTACAGATTTTTATAAAATTGAACTTTCTCTTGCGGAGACCGAAAAATGGTTCCCGCAACATCAAAATAACAGGTTTTTATCACATTGTAGGGACATTTGGTCCCCACAATGTAATGTATACCTGGACCACACACACAGACACATACACACACACACATGCAGACACACACATACACACACACACACACACACACACACACGCAGGTAGAGATCCTCGATTCAGGCCATAGCGAAATCTGGAAGTACAAAGACTCTGTTGTAAGAGACTTAGGTTCCTGAGGAAGAACGAAATGAACAGACCACAGTGAGTTTGCTGTGTTCATGGGGACTTTCAAATGACCCGGAATCACCCACCAAACTTACCTCATGCTGTGGTATTAGAGCCAATATCTTCATAGCCATCTTGTGCCACCTAATTTCACAACATTGTTACCAGAGCCAGAACTGCCATGGATAATTTGATTGTGCTGCCTTCAGCTGAGTCAGCAACTGAGAACGAGCCAGGGAAAGAATGTAAATCCTAAAGAGATGAGCGCAGGGAGAAGGTCAAGGGCACCTGACCTGAGCAGCAATGTTGCCAAAACCACCAGTAAGTACTATTGTTCAGATTCATGAAGACAGAGCTGAACTGCAGAAAGAAGACCTGTCTTCTGGCACCAAGGAGAGGTAGCAGAAGAGAACGACCTTTAATGAGGACAAAGTAATGTGGCAACGGGGACAGTGACAAATGAACACGGCAAAGAATAATAATGAAGTAAATGAAACAAGAAAAAAGGACCAAAAATAGACAAAATCACAAGACAAACCCAAGACTAGGCTTAGCCAGACCATGCTTACCAAAGATGAAACCATTAGATTTTGCACAGACTTAAGAAAATCAATGTATCCCCTGACTTACTTCAATGGATTCTGCTATGATCCCAGAGCCACAGGTACAAAAGAATTTATTTAGGTCTCTATCACGTTCAAGTCCTGCCTTCTGGCTTTTCAGAGACTTATACACATGTTTCTGTAAGACATCGACACAAGAAGGACTGGACAACTGATGCTGGAAGAGATCAAAGGAAAAAGGAAAAGTAGCGCCCAGGGTTGGATAGACAGAATTCCGGGAATCACGAGGAGGAGTTTGTCAGAGCTTGAAGAAGCAGTTGTTGACAGACAGGTTTGGTATCCATGAGGTCACCAAATGTCAGAGATGACTAAATGAATGACTGCCTCCCTCATGAAAACGAACATATGAGTATCCTGATCTGAATTCTACAGAAGGGCGCAGGTGAGTGTAAAGCGGACACAGGGTATGATCTGTTTGTTTTTGTTTTTATTATAAATACTATTAATATACATAGTTGACTTGCGCTTAAGTAAGAGTAAATGCAGAGATATGAAGTACCAGACATTAAGAGGTGGAACGCCACCAATATACATGTTTATATGCACCGTTTTCCTGTCAAACCATATTATGCTTTTAGCCACACGTTGTAAATCACGGAAAGTTTATACATCTATATGACCTTAGCAACCTTAACCAGCATGCAACCTGTATCCCTCATTCTGAATTTTGTTAACATAACTATTGAAAAAAGATCAAAGTATGTTCATTGTAAATACAAAAAAGTTGGTCTGGAGTAGATGTCGAAACGGTGACCCTGCAGTTAAGTTCACGCAAAGTCGCCTGGAATGACGTGCGAGAGTAGAAACACCCTTTGAAGCAGACTTGGGCTTCATTCCATTTCCAAAAAGTTGAACATAATGCAAAGTTCATGTCCTGGACACACTGGTTAATCAGGAACTAGGTCTTCCTCGAATTAGGGCACGATTCTACAAAAGAAGATGCTGAATAAAAGTTGTGTGTAATCAATCCGCCATGAAGATTGGCAAGTTGAAAACTTTAAAAATAACTGAAGAGGAATTTGTATTAACCCTGTAAACAAAGGCAGAAGTTCTCTCCATCAGAATGACACCAGTGTAATAAGATACCAGTAAATTACTCACATTTCAGAATTTGGTTTTGTGTACATTTGCATTTGGGTGCTTAACTGTGATGTGCATCACAAACCTAACATGTCAATATGTCAGCAACAGTCTTCTTGGTTTTAGGGTCGTAGAGAATTTTGCTTTAGTATACGCAGACCTGGGCCCCTCTTAAGTTAAAATGTTAACTTATTTCCTTAATTTTTATTATATTAATTAAACATCTCTGATTGGCTGGCATTTGTCCAACCTTGGGCAATTGTCCCTGCCAGTGGAAACAAGCCACAAAAGATTACATGTAACTATTTTCCAAGTGTCATAATCAGCATTTGCATCACAAAGAGAAACTGAACTCTAGTTAACTTTTGCTTGCGAGTTAAGGACAGGCCTCCAACGCAGCGCACAGATAAGGGATCGGGGGATGAAAAAAATGAAAAACAAACCGAAGATATGAAGGTAATGTTTGATGAGTAAACAGTTACAGATCTGGCTTTCATTCCCATGTGGATCGCGTCTGTCAGGTGAGAGGGACAGATTGCATTTAGTGACGGAGTTTAGGTACCTAAACCTGCTCCTTCAAATCAAGGGGAGTTAGCTTACGTGGTTTGGGTATTTTATGACGGTCCCATGGTAAACCCAGAACAGACAGGAGGGATTTTGTCTTAAAGTTGGCTTGGGAAGTAGCACAGTCACTGAGCACCTGTCCCTGTTGCATGAATAACCGAAAGTGCCCTCGAGCAAAATTTACCCACCGTCCCCCCCGTCGGCTAAATGAACCGATCACCGACAATCGTGCAAAATTTACTGAGGAGGAGCCTCCCATTAACCCCCCCCCGAGCCCAAAGGCCTTGTCACTGGAAAAGCTGCCGACATGACCCTCACTAGGATAAACAGAATGACGAAGATGATGATGAAGATATCAAATGCTTGAAGTAAATGTGATCACTATTAAGGACTTAGGGAAATAACATGGAAACATATTTTTTTAATAAAATCTTAGGAGGGGGCAAAAGGGGGCACCCTCACCAGCCCCGAGCACCCGCCAGCGCTTGGGCAAGATCGGCGATCAAAGTTCCTTCAGCTGTGACATAATTTAGATTAACCATAACTCAAGTCTGCCATCTTCCAAGTCGAGACATTTTACAGTCGTAAATCAACCAGCCGTTACTATAACAATGCCAAGTTATAAAAGATGCCACGTCCTTTCTCAAAGGATTCTACTGCCAAATAAAGTTACAACGTGGGCTTGTTATCTGTGATATCTGTAATACAGCATATCCCATATGAAGTAAGAATTATGCGTTTAACGGACAACAGCCAACAGCGTAAACCACAGATTTCTGAGCCAGCTTGTTATAAAACAGTTCAAATACACCCTTCTCAAATCATATAACTGACTTTAAAAGTTTGTATTTTAAATGTATGTATAATCTGTTCATTTTTTTCGCCAAAGTATAGTTTTTACTTTGAGAATTGAGATACCCAGCCCCATTACGATCTTTCGCCCCTCCTCAGAATCAGGTCGTACAGTTAAATCTCGTAGGTCGGAGATGTGTTTCCCATTTAAATGCGGAAAAAAAGTAAAAAATGTAGAAGATGACACATGGGCTTTACACGGAGGTGGGTAGATAGCTACTGCAGACTGAACGGCGTTTCAGCACCACCAGGAGATTAGGTGTATCTAACTTTTCTTGAAGGTTTCCTTTTGCATAACAGAGGGAGATGTTGCGGGAATAAAGGAAGCAATCTCTGGAGGGAAAGTGTTATGCTATGGGGAGAGATACTGACATTTGATCCCCACAATGTGATAAAATCGTGTTATTTTGATGTTGTGGCGACCACTTTTTCGGTTTTAGAAAAAATCTGAATGCAATCAAAAAACTAAAAATGCCAAAAGCCTTTTATTTTGTTTGGTTACTTATGGTTAAAGTTAGGGTTTTGCCTATAGGAATGAATGGATGATCACTCACAAAGATATGAGAAATATCACATGGGTATATGGTTATATGAGTACCTCATGATCCCATTCAGTAAGAGCCTTATATGAATTTGCTGATTTATTCATTATCGCTTGTGCTGTACATTAAAGCGGTGAAATAGATTAACACATTCTAGAGGAACTCTTGGCAAAAATAAATGAGCATGTCATGCATCCAGAAATCATCACTGCATGACTCAATGTTTATGAGAAATAATAATGATATGATGGCATCCTTCATATATTTTTAACTGGTTGATCTTTGCCTGGAAGTTCTGTGGCAGACCTTCTCTGACCCCGAGTGACACGCTGGGTTGGTCATCATTTTATTACTCACACATCACTCTCTTTTTTTATCAGTGTAATTTCTCGACTCATGCATGTAATTCACCGAACAGACAGCAAGTGAATTGTGTAATTTACAAAGAACCTTTCTCGACTATTATTAGGAAGATCATCTGAGAGATGATCCAGTAAATATTAGCAATGATGGGACTGGCTGTCCCTCACTAAACCTGCTAATTATGGTTAAATCTGTCTATGTAGTAAATCGATAGATTTCCATCCACGATTTTTCTGCATCTCTAACACTTTACTATAATACACCTTTGTACACATTTTATAGGGAAATATAGTAGCAATATACAATATTTACAGAATGTAGGTTACAGTTCTCTACTGAGATCTCAGCCTGTACCTAAAGTCCACATCGTACGTGGGCTGCAAAATGCCCAGGCCAGCGCGGGACTGATCGAGGGGGGGGACTTTCACGCCCGAGTCCAGGAGCTCCATCTCGAAGAAGGAGAGTAACAGAGTCAGAAAAAGCTTGATCTCATGGACGGCGAAGAACCGACCAGGACATTTGGTGACTCCAGAGCCAAATGGCATGTAATAATATCGCAGTTTGCGTCCGTTGCGGTAAAAGCAGGTCTTCTCCTGCATGTTCTCGTCCAGGAACCGGTCATACTTGTACGACTACAGAGAAACAGAAGAGACGGGGTCAGGTGAGTTTGGTCCCGTGTCATTCGTACGCTATGGAAAGGAAGATGAGGAAACTGCATCCGTACAGCTGTGACGACTCACCAGCGGGTCCTCGTAGATCTCAGGGTCGAAGTGCAGCAGCTGCGGGTACAAGGCTATCACGTCGTCCTTGCGGATGCGGTACGACTCCTTGTTGTCCAGGTGCAGCAGGAAGTCCTGTTTCGCCACTCGGACGTTGAGTGAGGCGCTGGACAGCCTCATGGCTTCCTTGATGATGCTGTCTGTGGGTCAATGAGGCAAACAGCGTAACTAAACAGCACATGTGTTCTGCTATTCCAGGCTAATTAGCAACAAGTGAGGTTTAGCAATCATGCAGATTTCGCCCTTCAGTCCCCAGTGTTTCCAGTGAGGTCTATGTCACTGCCGGTCAAAATTCACGTGGTGCCCACCCCCCCAGGCAAACCTCCAGTGTGGTCTATGTCAGCGACGGGCACTCATGTGGTGCCCACCCCCTCCAGGCAAACCTCCAGTGTGGTCTATGTCAGCGACGGGCACTCATGTGGTGCCCACCCCCCCAGGCAAACCTCCAGTGTGGTCTATGTCAGCGACAGTCAAAACTCATGTGGTGCCCACCCCCCCAGGCAAACCTCCCCGCCAAATTTCACTTTGTCTCAAACAGTGCACTCTACCTGCTCCTCACGCCTGGGGGTAATACTAGCAGTTTGCTAAGTCGCTGCCCTTCCAGAAGATGCCGGCTTAGGTGACCACCTATGTTGCTCAGTGGTTTGACTGACTTTGGTCTATGCTGTGGTGGACACTAATCTGGATCCCTCTGCACGTACCCAGAACAGGCATGTTGTCCAGCTCCTCGCGTGTCAGAGTAAGTTGCGGGCCGCCCGGGCGAGCACACTGCCCTGACCTCTCCAGCGTCCGCTCTACCTCCTCCTTGGCTGCTCTCATTGCTTCTGGGCTCCTGGGTGGGGAAGAGATGGAGGGTTGGAGGGTTATGTGAGACAAGCTAATTGGAGCTTCCCAATTGCAAGATTCCACAAACCACTTTCTCAGTGGCATTCATGACATCGTTAGAAGCCAAGAGGGACTTCCAGGAAATGGACAAGTTCCCCAGCCTTCAGACGTTACCTGATCATGTAGAAGAGGCTCCAGAATGCAGCAGGCAGTGTGTTGGCCTGTGAGGCCCACAACAGAGCTACGTGAGTTCTGGCTTTGCTGATGTCGGTGAAGGTGGAGAGTGTGTCGTTGAGGAGCATGCGTAATGAGATCAGGTCCGACATGCCCTTGCGTCGGTGAAGGTTCTCGTGCAGCAACGTGCGGGCCAGGTTCTCCCGGGCACTGTGGCCACTCTTGAACACGTGGATGGGCAGACCAGCTACCAAGGCAGGGAAGATCTTGTCGAACTCCTTGTAGTTCTCCAACGCGCTCAGTACAAGGGCTCTCTGGGCTTCCTGGCGGGCCAGGTTCTGGTCCTCCTGGCTGCTGAGCTCCTTGCCAAAGAGGGTCAGGTAGCCTGACTCGAACATGACCTTGTAGCAGAAGGCGAAGACGCCGTCTACCTCCCAAGTGGTAGCGCTGGTCTTCAAGGTGTCCGAATGCAACATGACGTTCTGCAGGTTCTCTATCATGTTCTCTATGAGCGAGGGCAGCGCGTCACCTTGCAGCGTCTTCAGGAAGGTCTGGTGCAGGTTCTCGGTGGTGTAGCCGTGACTCGGGTCCATGCTTTCGTGGCCGAATGCCTAAAAAATGACCCGAGGATGGCAGGGTCACTTACGAGGCCACTCAGGGGAAGCCTGTTATTAATGATTCAACACTGAGCCTCGCAATTGGCTAAGCGGCTATCTATTTACCTTGACGGAGGCAGAGAAGTGGAACTTCTTCCAGTCGAGGTGGCGGCCCTGGCGGATGACGGCGTGGTAGGAGAAGGGGTCACACAGGAAGTGCACGTACTGGCCGGCGACCTTGCAGGTGAAGATGTGCCCGTATCGCCTCTGGCGGCTGCGTAGGAACTCCAGGGGGTTGGCACCGAACTGGAGGGCGCAGCCCAGGTACGGAAATAGGCCATTCTCTACTGGGGGCTCACCGGGCTGCCTGTGATAGAGCCACACCCTCACCCTCGTGCACCAATAGGACTGACTCGCTCTCACAGTGTGCCTCATCCTCCAATCCATGCTCACCTTGCAGTGCCATACACAGGTTTAGCTTGTTTTTAAAGGTAATAGAGTTGTTTTATTATGGAGCTGATTTATTCACACGATGATAAAATGATAAAGTGGTTCAACCCACACATTCGACACAAAACATTAGCTGTATTTTAAAATAAAGTTTTTATTTGTCAATAATGTTTCTTTTTAAATGTGCATTTTTGTATCTTCAGAAAAAGACACGAAGCCGATGTAACAAGATCAAAGTAGAAGCAGGCATGTGTAGGGGTGTACATTTTATTTACAATAGAAATGTGACTCAGAAGGTTAATTCAGGTGAAGCGGCAGCAGATTGTGTGAGGAGGAGTGGAAGACGCCGGCGTGGAGCTCTTACCTTCTGCGGATGCCTAAAAGCAGCCAGAGGCAGCAGCAGACACCCACCACGACCCCCCAGATCAGGGCAACGCTGATAACCATGATAGCTGCAGGGCAACAGAGAGAAAGAGCTGGACAAGTGTCCTCTGTCTGAGATCCAGCTGTATTTATACGCTCTGAGAGCTGTGATCCCCTCCCACCATCCCAGCCCCCGTTTACCTCCCCCGCTAGCAGAACGCTGGCTAAAACCACAATCGCCGTGGCGACCTTGAACCGGGTCCATGGACACCTGTTGTCGGGAGAGACAATCGCAGGGTTAGGAAATGGCTTCAAGGTCTGGCATGTGTAGGCTGTCCTCAGGTGAATAGGGACGGTCTGCGGATGGTCTAAATGGCTCAAGAAGAGCATGGCCTTGGGCTTCACACCCCCCTGGAAAGGTGGGCCATACTCACTACGGGGGCATCATTAGGTCAAAAGGTCAGTAGACAGTGTTACTATGTGGGTGAGAGTAGAGAGTGTTAAAGCACAAAGCAATGTAAAGGCTTGAATGTCTATAGTTCTCTATTAAAATGCCTCTGTGTGTGTGTGTGTGTGTGTGTGGTCCTGTATATATTGATAAAAAAATGTTTTTGTGACCTTGAGGAATCCCCACAATGGGAAAATCTTTTTTTTTTTTTAAATCTGTGGCTGCAATCAAGAAACTAAAACAGCCAAAACTCTTGTTTTTTGTTTGGTTCCTTTTTTTTAAGGTTAGGGCTGCGTAGGGGTTAAGGGTGTCGTGACTGGAATTAGGGTTTTTCCCATAGAAAAAAATGGATGGTCCCCACAAACATATGAGTACAGGTCAGTGTGCGTGTGCGTGTGCGTGTGTTTGCGTACCAACATGCCATATTATTTCTGTTAATCAACCTGCATGTTGGGATCGAATTGATCCTTAATTTCCTTAGATCTGGCCCAATAATCCTTTTTATTGCGCAATACCTACTGCTTTGTATTTTCATGATAAAAATGAACAGGCAGTGCCTGAACCAGCTGCCCCTGAAGCAGCGCCCTGCTGTGTCAGAGCTGCTCCTCCATACTGACACATCGCTGTGAACCAACATAAAAGTTCCACTTAAAGACAGTAGCATTTGTCCCACTGAATAGCAGGTTCCATGACTGGCTTCCTCTTGTCTAAGATTGATGGAACGGGGCAACGGGCAGCGAGACTGAGATGTCCTCGTCCTTTAGCTCTCCGGATACTCTGCTTTGAAACCCTTTTGTTCTCCCTGGCTAAATGCAAACAGTACTTCCAGGAATGTGGATATGATTGCAGTGTGTTGATTGAATCAGCTTGCAGTTGTTACTGCATGGGTCAGTGAAAATTCCAGAGAACATTATATTATATCATTATACGCTGCATTTGTAGAACAATAAAAATATGATAATATCTGGTAATACATTCATTTATAATTTTTTGTATTATAATCACGTTAAATTTATAAGGGCCATAAACAATTCAGATATCAATCATTTTTTCTTTTTGTCCCCACACTTTTATATCTATAATTTCATTATGTGAGATTGTCTTTGCAGACATTCTGGTTTTACACTGAGGTAACCCACATTCATTTTGATCAGCTGGGGTCACTCCTGGGTAAATGTGCTATTGTAGGTTGTCGGGACAACCTCTCGCAAACTGAACGAATGTACCCTCTTTGGGTGGAAGGCAGGGATGTTTTTTTTTTTTTTTAAGAATCAGGAAATAGGGAAACCACAGAGTTTCTTAAGTCTTCCAGTGGGAACATGCATCTAGCGTCTAATCATACGCCTTTTGAGAGGCAAGTCCATCTTGTCTTACATAAGCGAGTGTTTTCTCCTGATGCCAGCTTGAGGAATTGAATTATGGGGTTACTGTCGGTCACAGGGGGCTCCGCCGGCCAGTGTCCCCCTTACATCACCTTTTAAACAAATAACCATCGTGCTTGTTGCCGATGACACAGGCTCATGTGCCTTAAGTTTCCTCCATTTTCACTGAAGCCTATTGTCATCTTTGACACCTTCCATCATGTCGTTCATTTTTATATCAGGGTTTCAGCCGCTGGTGACCCTCCATTCATGTGCTTTTTCATTTCACCAGCCACTATACATTTGATATTTCAAAAATATACCAAGAGTGCGGTATTATTGTGTTGGTTTTCAATGCCGCTTGACAGCCGCATTGTGCTGTAGTTTTGGTCCTTTTTTGAAATCCCAAAAGGACAGTACCTGGTGAAGTGGCCAGCGGCCGGCCCAGCCATGTTCCTCAATGTGCCAGCCATGTTCCTCAGTGTCCCAGCAATGTTCCTCAATGTGCCAGCCATGTTCCTCAGTGTCGCAGCCATGTTCCTCAGTGTCCCAGCCATGTTCCTCAATGTCCCAGCCATGTTCCTCAGTGTCCCAGCCATGTTCCTCAATGTCCCAGCCATGTTCCTCAATGTCCCAGCCATGTTCCTCAGTGTCTGCTCTCCTTTTCATCATTTGGCCAACGTCTGTTGGATGTGCAGTGCATCATGGGATAGCAGACCGTTCAAGTCTGAATGGTCTATGAAACAGCTTTCTGACTCTGCTTTACATTCAGCATACATGGTATACAAAAATAACGTTTACATACCTTTGTATGTATTTCAACTGTTAATTTGTAGTCATGTACACCAAATTTAGGTAGAAGTCTTGTCACTGTATCAGACTTCCCCAGCCATTAGAAATATTTCATGTTAATAGTTTAATGCATGCCATTATACAGTACAGTATAGCTCTGGTTTCACATCCAGAATTAATATTTTATAGACACGTAATTGAAATAATTTTCAGCTCCGCTGATGTCTGTACTGCTTATCTGATCGCACGGAAAAGGTGCTGTAACTGAAAGCGTCGAGTCAGCATTTGGAGACGGTGCTTTCTGCTTGTCTGCGTGTGCCCATCACCCCCCGTGCCCAAAGCCCACTGGCACAGCACTGCAGACCCATGCTTATCGCAAGACGATGAGTCAAGGCGCTGCGCAGCCATATTACTCCCTGGGCAATCAATGCACTCGATAAGAAGATGAAGGCCATCCCTGTTATCATTAATAATTAACCCTTTTAGCGCTGAATGGTGTTCGTTTGACCTTGACCGTCAGGATAATAGATGGGTGGCATTTCAGTGCTGATATATTTCTTTCAGTTCAGTGGTTCTTAACCTTGTTTACACTGCGACCCGATCTTCACCATGCCAGCTCAGTCGCAACCTGATATCAGCTATAGGTCTAAATTAACACTATGATCGAGCGTGCAGCGGACTCTGCAATTTACGGCAATCGATGCCTATCACACAAATCTGATTGGGTGTGCCGGTGAATTTTAAATTAAACATCTGTGGTTCACTAGTTTTGTCTTAAGCATTTGCAGACCCAAGACCCATTTATATAGGTTAATTCTAGGACTGGCGCTGGGGAATCGGATCGCGGATCAGTATAGGAGCTTGCTAGTTTTAAAATGGTTAAATTTCCAACTCTGCCTCATGACCCTTTCGGAACATGCCATGACCCATGAATTGAGAATCGCTGTTTTAGTTTGCTATTTCTATGAGCATAAGTCTAGGTAAACATTTATCTGACCCAGAATAACTGGTGAAACAAGAGTTAGGAGTGATGTGCACTTTATGGGATTTAAACCCAACCTTTGCATTGCTAGTAGTTTGCTATTTCTATGAGCGTAAGTCTAGGTAAACATTTATCTGAGCCAGAACAACTGGTGAAGCAAGAGTTAGGAATGATGTGCACTTTCTGGGATTTAAACACAACCTTTGCATTGCTAGCATAAGGCTCCTCTTGTTGTGCTGGGATTTAAACCCATAACCTTTGCATTGTTAGCATAAGCCTCCCCTTGTTGTGCTGGAATTTAAACCCATAACCTTTGCATTGCTAGCATAAGGCTCCCCTTGTTGTGTTGAGATTTAATCCCATAACCTTTACATTGCTAGCATAAGGCTCCCCTTGTTGTGCTGGGATTTAAACCCATAACCTGTGCATTGCTAGCATAAGGCTCCCCTTGTTGTGCTGGGATTTAAACCCAACCTTTGCATTGCTAGCATAAGGTTCCCCTTGTTGTGCTGGGATTTAAACCCATAACCTTTGCATTGCTAGCATAAGGCTCCCCTTGTTGTGCTGGAATTTAAACCCAACTTTGCATTGCTAGCATAAGGCTCCCCTTGTTGTGTTGGGATTTAAACCCATAACATTTGCATTGCTAGCATAAGGCTCCCCTTGTTGTGTTGAGATTTAAACCCATAACCTTTGCATTGTTAGCATAAGGTTCCCCTTGTTGTGCTGGGATTTAAACCCATAACCTTTGCATCGCTAGCATAAGGCTCCCCTTGTTGTGCTACAGGAACCATCACACAGAGAGTCCCTACGAGACACAGACACATGCTACTGCTACATCTTGTAACTTCTTTTAAATTACATACAAGGCAATGGTGCCCAGACTTTAATACGCTGATTAGCATATCATGCTAAAGGCTTGTGTTCACACTGAGTGTCGCTAAGACTGTGTGTCTTGGACATGGGAGGTTCTGGCTCGGGGGTGAGGCATAGTGCAGGCAGGAACAGAATGTGAACGATCCACTGGGGGCTCACAGGAACACGGTGGTTTATTAAATAAAAATGAATATGCAAAGAACATTACAAAATAAATAGACCGTGAGGTGTCAAAACTAAAAAGGGGAAAAACAAAGATTAACTACAAATGGGGCAGGGAAACAAGGGGCGGGCAGGCCTCAAATCACACATTCAAACATCAGTAACATACAACAACGACTCAGAAACTTAAATACAAAAGGTTAACCAGGATAATACAGGACAGGTAACCAAATCAGTGAAGGTGCAAGATAATGAGAAATCCGGGTAGAACACACAAGGATCGGCACAAGAACAGGCAACAGGTGAAACTAATAATTAACTTAAAGGACTGGGAGATCAAAACAGGGAACCAAGGAAACTAAACACTGAGAAAATAATGGAGGCAGGTAAAACAGAACTGAGGTGAAGCTAAAAGCCCACACTGAGAAACAATCCACAGAATCACAGGAACTACAAAACAGATACAAATGAAACACTTGGGAACAAAATACAAAAACAGAGAAGACAGGATTCAAACACACAAGAGGGGATTACAGGTAACCGCATGCTCAGCTTGTTGAGCCATACGGCTGACGGGTTAGGGTTAGGGGAAACTCAAAGGCTG